CTTAGCCGAGTTACTAGAAATTATTTGCTAGCGCTGATGTATCCTGGGCTGCTTGTACAATCCTATTCAGTTCTCAAGAACTTTCTTTCTAGGGTTTTTTCTTCTGTGATAATGAATTGCTTGAATGTGATAAAAGTAAGAAGAGTATGATTAATTTCAGGATGAATGTTGATTGTACTGTTCATTATTCGGGAAGTCGGTCAGTTGCTCAGCGTCTAAAACAGTGTTCGCTGAAGGTGAGCAAATTTTATCCAGATATCCCATTATTGATTGGGTCGTATCTATTTACCGCGCCAAGATTCATTAATTATTTGAAATGAGGCAAGAGAAATCACAAAAGAAAAACTGAAGAGTGTACCGAGGCATAGTTGCCTCCCGAAGGTGCCGTACTTTTGTCAATGATTAGTGTAATTGCAGCCGCAGCTTCACCACTATCGACCACGCATTTTGTCTCATTCTGTACCATTATCGCGAACGTATATTCTTCCAATTTAAACATCTTCTTCGCAGGATCTCAATAACGCAACATCTAATGGCAATGTTGCATTCAAAACACCCAGTTTACCTGGTTGCAAACCATCACCAAAGCTCACGCCAAAGCAACACAACACCGTTCGTATAATTGCCCAATACCTTCGCGATCTGGGATTGAAGTGAGTCCATGGTGGCTGGAGAAGTTCTTTACAGATTATATGACGTTTAATATACACCATTCAGAGAATCCCTAGACGCACTTACAGAAGAAAGTGGATGCAAAGTCGAGAATGCTAACGCACGAAAATTGCGGGAAGCTATTTATAAAGGTAAACTAAAGGAAACTTTAAATACCATAAAATTTGCAAAAGAAAGTACTCGAAGTTATGGTTGTCCTTCGCTGCACTACAGTGTTTTAGCCGTCCAAGCGCGCCGCAGCTTCGTTATTTGAAAGAGAGAACGAGCTGTTTTTTCCCTCAAAGAAAAAAACTTTCTTACTCAGATGTTATGCGGGTATTTCGTGCATGCACTTGTAGATCGATATAAGTGTAATGCAGCATTGGACTACTTGCTGGAGCGGGTGTGCGGATAAAAGTCCTTCCAAATTTTTTTGAGTTTTTTTCCATGTTCATTCTAAAACCACATGCACCAAATGT